TCGGGGCCGCCTGTGGCCCGCGCCCTGCGTGAGGCCGGGAGCCTCTCTCGCTCCGTCATGCGGCCGGGGGTCATTGCCGCCCTGCGCCCGCCGCAGCCGGGATGCGGTGTCTGGCGTGCTTGGAGCTGGTGGACGTGCGGGCAGCGCCGAAGGAGCGCGCCGTGCGCCCCCCGAATTCGCCAGCTTGGGCTGTGAGGAGTAACTAGGCACACGTTGCGGACTTGGGGGGGTCTCTCCTTCTGTGTCGCTGAAGGGTGAGGCCTTGTTCATAACGGTGCCTGGCGTGTGGAGCACCAACAGGCGGAGGCTTCTAGGGCAGGAAGGACGCGAAACTAAGTGACAGAAAGTAGGGGTTTGCAGGCAAAGGCAGTTGTGGAAAAAGGAAACATATTGAGAGATGACAATCAAGTAGAGCTTAAAATACATCGAGAGAATGAATTGCAATGGGAAGATGAAGAAAAGCAAAGACAGAAGAATTATTTAAACCTTTCATCTTTACAGTATAGAGTTCTTTCAGGGGGAGTTGAGCACCTGTTTCAGAAATGTTCTAAGCCTGGTATTAGGGGAGTTCTGTGTTTCATTAGGTGACTATAGAGCTCAAAGGAGTTTATGCATTGATATATCTTGTTTCAAAGTCATCCAGTATAACTTCTCAGTGGTTGGTGTGGTGAAGAACTTTACAGGAGGGGTTTGCAGAAGTAGGGAAATAGCAGAGGAAGATACCTGAAAACTGTTGATCAAATTGTTCAGCATAACCATAAAACATTTCTTCAGGTTTCACCATAGAGGTTTTTGACTCAAAACCGTTTGTGATACTAACTTTACTATTTGCAAAGATGGTGAAAATGCAGGGTAGAAATATTTCAGGATGTCATGTCCAAACTGTTGGGTCAAGGCTCTTAAAATGCATCTACAGAACAAGAAATTTAGTTGCTGGCTTTTAATTCTGTCAGTTTACTTTCCACAGATTGAGCCATCTAGGGAATGCTGCAATTAAGGCAATAGGGTTCTGTTCAGTTGCTAATTGTTACAGACACAGAAGCCGAAAAGGATTTAGCAGAGTCCATGTTCTCTTTTATATGTCTCTGATCAGATTGATTTAACTGATTGTCAGGCAGCATACTCATTCTTGTAAGAGTGACAGAAGTTTTAATGTTCGTGAGACTCTTACGCAGTTGAGAACGCACTAATTCGTCCTCTTTCCAGAAATATCTGTAATGCAGTAGCACATACTTAACGGGCTGCTAAATCAAATTACAGTAGAAATCGTGATGTCTTCTAATCCACGTGGTGAAATGAAACTTGAATTTGTTAATTTTTTTAAGTTGTCCCTTAGTAGCACTAAAGTTGTGGTAGTATTATGTTAAAGAAGCAGCACTGGACTAGAAAGTTGACTGTTCTTACTCTTTTATGTCTTCTTTCTCTTCCTAAAAACTGTCTTTTTGTACGTGTACGCTTCTGGATGAGTTATCTCAAGGTGTAGCCAAGTGACCGGCTGAGTGGAGGGTGAGAAGTTAGCTTGAAAATCCAAAAGCGCATTGATGTCTGTTGGAAGGAATATCTTTCGGAGAAGCTTGCCATTTCTCTCTCTGTCATTGGCAGGTCTAAAGCAGAGGCAATGCTTTTTTCAGGGCCCTGCCAGGATGTTTTCATTGGCCTTTTACTTTGGGTACAGTCTTGTTGCATCTGCAGCTCACAGATACAGAGCATGCTGATAAAGGAGGTGGTCAGTTCTGAGTTACAGCCCCGTGCTTCCTCTGCGTCCTTCTAAGAAATTTTTGGAATATTAATTGTGAGAAAACAGTTTCAGATTATCATGAAGTACTTGGGGCTTTGCCTTCTAGAGATGCCAAAACATACTAGGAAGTCCTAGAAATAACTTCAAAAGGTACTTTGTAATCAAGATTTTTTTGTTGTTGTTTTGGTTTTTTGTGCTTGTCAGAGACTGACAAAAAAAAACACCCAAAAAGTCTGGTAAGGACTTGAGGATTTCTGTAATTCATTACAGTCTGTATGGATAAACAGCCAAAACCACATGACTGGAGCTGTGATTATCAGGGGTTTTGCTTTCTGTATATACTGAGGTGTGTCATCTCTACATTGTAAATCCTCATTTTTTGGATGTTTGCTTTTACTAAAGCTTTTATTTGCTGATCTGGCAGTTATATTTAGGGAAGGACTTCTCTTTGTGTTCATTTTACCACATCACCTATAGAAGATTATGTCCAGGTATTATACAGAGACATGAAAAAAAATTGTTGAATTAGTTAATATGCTGTTTGAAAGCCTTTTGAAATTCACTTTTCTCACGTTGGCTTGTAAATGTGAGAATACTTCAGGCATTTATATTTCTGTGATTTTTTTCATAATCAAAGACTATCCAGTGCTGTACCCTTGATAGTCCCTTCAAGTGACTTGACTTTTAGAGTTACTCCGATTCTGCTGGGTAAATTTGATATTGGCATAGTACGTATGTTTGCATCAATGTATTTTCAGGATTGTCTTCCTGTCACACCAAATGGTAATTTAGGAGTGTAGTGCTAGTACTCTCTAGTATCTTAGATAAATTTGAAACATTTAGAACTGTCTAGGATTTTGATTTCCTTATATCTACTTCAGCTGCAAGTTATTTGATTAGGAATTGAGGTAAAGTATCTCAGCTGCTGATTCTGTACCAAATTTTGTACTAAATGGAAACAGCATGAAAGATCAACCAGAAGACTCTTAATTGCAAGGTGTTCATTTTAACTAAGGATCCTGCTAGCAAACAAGCTGATACTACTGATGTTGTATTGACAGGTTTTGAAAGTTTTTAAATTACTACACAGAACCCGGCAAGAAGTTTTTAAAAATGATACCAGAGCCCTTGAAGGTGAGATACTTTTTTTTGTGTGGTGCATGCTTACCTATCTTTCTGTGGAACTTTCTTTTCCAAATTCACAGAAAGAGAATTCTTAACACGATCTTCCTTTTAATTATTCCCTTCCACATTTTATAAATAATCATTGGGAAAACTTGTGTGTCTATAACCAGACATCCTTTAATTTGAAATAAAACCCTGGTTGTTAGACTCAAACACTCAAACCATATTTTGTAAGGAAAACATCTCTTTTTGGGACCTTGATGATATTCCTGGGATTTTCTTTCCTTTTTTTTTTTTTTTTTAGCTTGCTTCAGTCCAGCCAAAGCATGTTTAACTGTACTAACCATTTGAGTTGATTCTATTTACGTATGATTGCCCTTCAGGGGATAAATACTGGGGTTTTAGTAAACCAACTTTTAGTAGTGGCTTCTGTATGTTAGTTATTTTTAAATCTTAGAATGCTAGATTTTATTCCTATACCAGTCAACTTAAAATATGACATCACTTGAATTCCATGGAAATCTTGTATTAAAATGCATCAGGCAGAGTGCACAAGGAATCCTTTGTACCACCTTAGGATTCTGAACTTTGAGGAAGTAACAAAGACAAGATAAAATTTTTTGTTCACACTTAAGTTGTTTTGTTTATTTTATTTAGCTGCAAGACAAAAGATAAATGAAGAATTCAAAAATAACCAAGATGAGACATCTGAAGAGAAGATTAATGAGGTGGTACTTGTTTTCATTGTTTCTTTTCCACTTTGCATAAGAATACTTGCATAGCTTCTTACTTAAAGGATCTCTGAACCGATGTAAGTACTTATTGAGACATTGTGAGAGCCAGGTGAGTTCGAAAAGGCTTTTACATGGATTTTTTTTATAAATATATTGATACCTCCATTGGTATTAATAGTATGTTACAGAATTTTGCACATACAAAAATACATAAGGAGAAAGTGTTTTCTGGTAGTTCAGTATGCTTATTTTGAAGCTTATAATAAAATTATGGAAAAAATGTTTTCTGTTGCTATTTTCATGTAAATGTTTTCTACACTTTGCTTATAATATTTCTCTGAGCTGTGGTCGCTTAAGTTTACCTGATGTTTGTTGTATAGACGAGCACAGAAAGATACAGAGAAATTAAATAATCTGCTCAGTTACTAGCAAACATGAGAAGTTACTTTGATTCTTGATGACAAATGAGGCAGTGTCTTTTGTGGGAGGCAAAAAGACCAGCTGCTGGACAGTAACATAAATAGTTATGAGCATTTAGTTAGGACAATGCCTCAGAGATGGGGAAGGTGGCTAGGTCAGCTTCCTGAATTACAAGTGCAACCAAGAAAAAGCAACAGGTGATAGCAGTGAGACACTCTCTTTGAGGCATACTGAGGTGCCCATTTGCTGACCCAACCCACTGTCTGGAGAGGTTTGCAGCTTACCGGAGGCTAGGATTAGGGATGTCACAGAGAGACTACCAAACCTGGTACATCCCACGGATTACTGTCCATTGCTGCCATTTCACATGGGCACCAGTGATGCAGCCAGAAGCAATCTAGCCAGAAGGAGAGGCAGTGAAGGACTCGGGGGCCCAGGTAATCTTTTCATCAATCCTCCCAGCCAAAGGCAAGGGGCTTGAAAGAGCCAACAGAATCAGGAAAACCGATGAATGGCTGAAGGAGTCGTGCCACAGCCGGGGCTTTGGCTGCTGAAACACAAGACTTGCTTTGAGAAACCTGGTCTCCTCGAGGCTGATGGGGTACATCTCTTAGAGAAGGGGGAAAACATCTTTGGACAAAGGCCAGCCAATCTAGTAAGGAGGGCTTTAAAGTAGATTTGCCAGGGGAGGGGATCCTCAATCCATCCCATTTCAAGGCCAGTGCTGGAAATAGATGCCCTGGCCCCAGAGATGGTTCACAGGCCAGCGAGAGAGCTCATGAAGTGCAAGATAATGAATTCCAGCTGGTAAGTCAGCTTCAGTGTGGAGCCCACTTAAATGCCTCTGTGCAAATGCACGGAGCACGGGGAACAAACAAGAGGAGTTAGAGATGTGTGCACGTCTACAAGGCTAGGATGTTAAAGGCATCATTGACATGTGGTGGGATAGCTCCTGTGACTGGAGTGTAGGAATAGATGGGTATAGGCTTTTTGGGAAAGACAGGCAGGGGAGAAGAGGACGGTGTGTTGCCCTTTATGTCAAGGACTAGCTGGAGTCCGTGGAGCTTGGCCATGGGGATGGATGAGTTGATCAAGAGCTTAAGGGTCAGGGTTAGAGGAAAGGCAGGGGAAGGTGATATCATAGTAGGGGTCTGCTACAGGCCACCTGACCAGGATGACCGAGCAGACAAGGCCCTCTATAGGCAGATAGGAGCGGCTTCACGTTCATAAGCCCTGGTCCTCATGGCAGACTTCAATCAGATCATAGAATATGAGGTTGGGAGGGATCTCAAGGATCATCTAGTCCAACCTT